AATCATCATCAATGTTATCCTTCTTACAATCATCATCTTCAATGTTATCCTTCTTACAATCATCATCTTCAATGTTATCCTTTATACAATCATCATCTTCAATGTTATCCTTTATACAATCATCTTCAATGTTATCCTTTATACAATCATCATCTTCAATGTTATCCTTCATACAATCATCATCATCAATGTTATCCTTCTTACAATCATCATCTTCAATGTTATCCTTCTTACAATCATCATCAATGTTATCCTTTATACAATCATCATCTTCAATGTTATCCTTTATACAATCATCTTCAATGTTATCCTTCTTACAATCATCATCTTCAATGTTATCCTTCTTACAATCATCATCTTCAATGTTATCCTTCTTACAATCATCATCTTCAATGTTATCCTTTATACAATCATCATCTTTAATGTTATCCTTTATACAATCATCATCTTCAGTATTATCCTTCTTACAAACATCATCTTCAATGTCATCCTTCATATTATCATCATCTCCAATGTTATCCTCTAAATGGCTTGTAATAGAAATATCATTTTGTATAGAACTACAACCTGGATTAACATCTTCCTTTTTAATGCCGGGAAAACTTTTATCCTCTATGATTCTTGTATCACTATATTCTAATAATGCTTTTGAAAGATCTGTTTCAAACTTCTTTAACAAACATTTTTTTCTTTTCAGTTTCTCTGTAACATAAGAATCAAGAAACCATGATTATTCCATATCACAGGCTTCATTCAATAAACAAACTATCATCTTAATCAATACATTAAATGATATTACCAAAAATTTGTTCATAAAACAATATTCACATATACCAGTTAGAGAAAATGAAAACATGCTGATGTGATGATGGCAATTTGAAAACAAAACATTTACAAAAATCTATATCGGATATGAGTCAGTGTTTGGAGCACCTGTGTCCTTAAAGGGATTGTGTCCTCTAAAGTAAATATTTACTGTATGATCGTGCTCTCTTTCTGAGCTTTCCAGCGCACTAATGGATAGATTTTTTTTCTGAGTTGAACTGTTTGTTGGTAAATGCATTTTAAAGTTTGGAGAAATGAAGACACTACACTTCCGATGCCGTCAGCTCCACTTCATTCAAAGCACTTCTGAAAGATCTTTCTGAGCTCTATGTTCAAGCTAATTTCAGAGGACACCATCCCATCAAAGATAGCTTGCCGGGCAAGGTAATATACGCCCACTAGCAGCTTTGATTTTGAATGAAAATATTTAGCAGTACATTAACAATCACCAGTATGAAATATTCAACCTTCAGTCATACATTTCTTTAGGGCGATACTGAATAATATTGAGGATGAGTTATTGCCCTTATTCTTGAAAACCTGTTCAATTTTTAGCTCCTGAAAACTCTAGAAGGAAAATATTCAATCTTCAGCGAATAATAAAACCAAGTTTTGTCAAAATCCAGCAAGAATCATGCCTTTTAGTGTTTAAGAGCTAAATTTGAAAGCGTTTTCAAGAACAAGGGCAATAACTCATACTAAATAATTTTCAATAGGGTTCATCCTTGTGTGATTACGAACACTCACACCAAGTTTCATCAAAATTCCTCAATAATTGTGCCTTCTAAAATGATTACGAGCTAAAAATTGAACGCGTTTTCAAGAACAAGGGCAACAACTCATACTAAGTATTTCTCGACTTTTCTTATTTTCAATAGTGTTCATCCTTGGGTCATTACGAACACTCACACCAAGTTTCGTCAAAATCCATCAATAATTGTGCCTTCTAGAGTGTAAAAATTTAACGTGTTTTCAAGAACAAGGGCAATAACTCATACTAAATATTTTTCAATTTTTCTGAGCTATTTGGCTATGCAATTGCACTATGTAATTCAAGAACAAAAATCGAAATAAAACTGCATGCAAAAACATAAAATCCATATACAAAAAAAAAAATAAACCAATAAATTAAGAAACATAAAAATACCTTTCTGGCTTATTTGAAAACAAAGTTTTTTTTTAGTTAATGATTGGCTTAATAAAACTTTCTAAAAACAAAATATCAGGAACATAAAACTACCTCTACCGATCCTTGTAAACCTTTCATTAACTTCATTGCAAAAAGGTTCAGTCTTTTCTATTTTAGTGTTCATACTGTGAATCGCATTCAAAGAAAAGATTACAATATTTAAGAAAAAACAATTAATAATAAATTTTCAACATCAATGACCAAAAATATTGAAAAAGAAAAGTAGGCGACAGCCGCTGTCTAGTCAAAATTTCCCTCATTGCACACTGCATGGCGTATGCCCGTCTTCATTAGCCCGGTTGGTGCAGAAAAGTAGGACGTTAAACCTCATTTCATTTCATTTCCAAAGAGTTCTTCAAGTTCAAAATCTTATTAAAAGCTGATAAACAGTAATCAAGAAAACCCATCAAAAATAAAAAAACTCACACGTATTCTTCATCCCAAAATCTAATTTCTTCATCTGTAACATAGCCTGGCCACCACACTCCACCATCCAGTTTAACCCAAACTATTTCCTAAACAAAACAGATTGTTTGAAGCTTTAATATACTAGTTTGTTTTTTGTTTCACTAATTGAGCATATATTCCTCTGCAAATTTAGTTTTTTCGGGAAGGGGAATGAGAATTGGAGGTTTAATTTCAGAAGGTGTTCCAATCTAACAGAATAGTGGCTTATCAGTATGCATTAAATGACCAAAATCTATTGGTCAAACACACACTAGATCTAAAGCCTAAAAAAGAACCGAACGTTTTAATAAAACAATAAAATTAAATTAAAACTAACCTTTGAGAGTGCCATAATCTGCCAAAGTAGCACTAGGCTAGTAGACAATAGCAGAATTTCTTTTTAGGTCTACTTGAATTTCCGATTTATCTTTTGTTTTGTTTTTTTTTGCTAGAATGCAAGATTTTAATCTTAAATACTTTGAAAACATAAGTTAAGAAGGTAATCAGGTGGTGTATAAATAATATCAAACACTAAAATTATTCCTACCATTTGATCCACAAAGTAAGGCTGAAGAAGATCTATTCAACAACCAATGAACATGTGGCAAATAAATCCGTTCAGGCGGCAAAATATGTAACAATCCAGCATTTCAGATAAATCAAAAAAGGCAATGAACAAAAACCACCGAATTCAACAGTATCAAGAACATCCAAATGGAAATCACTACAAAATGCTGAGACTTGAGAATGTTCAACCTCTTCGATTAAACCAATAAATCCAATAGGCATATCCATATCTTTTTCTTGTGTCAAACAAAATGGCTGACGTACCCAGGATTCTAATTCTCATGGATCTAATCGACTGCTACAATTATCGGCTTTCGATCACCTACAGTTTGATCAAATTACTATGACATTTCTTTAAAAATAAAACTGAAATAGTTACCTTCACCTAGCCTAGGAATAATTTGCTCACCTTATAACTGTAACTTGTAACTTCTAGCGTCGTCACGAGATTGTAGCCTCGATAATCCAGTATCTGGGAGAAACCTCGATTTCACATTTTCAGTCAAGGGTTGGACAAAGGGAGGTAACTGATTTCAAACATATAAAATTTCGATTTAAAACCCGTATTATGCACTGCAGCATTTTTGACATGTGGGTGCGTCTAAAATCCAAATATACCTTTTTTAAATACGGGGTGTTTTATATGCCCCACAAATTTTCACTGCCCCACAGAAAAGGTCATAAAACGAAATATGCCCCGCATAAACCACAGTTTCTAAGTATCCACATAGAGAGATATATATTATGATATATATATATATTTATGTGTTAAATCAAATTCATATATATATTTATGCGTTAAATCAAATTCGTATGGGTACCTTTAATGAAGATTTGAAAATAGTCAACCACTTTATTTATAGTTCATGACCCCTTGGACCAGAGTGTTTTTATTGAGATTTTAAAAAGTTATTTCATAGCATTATACTCATGACTGACATTAATTTTCTCATCAGATATAACATATTATTTACATTTGTTAGTCTTCGGTATATAATTGTGATGATGGGCATGGTGACTTTGATATTGTATTATTAACCAGACGACCTGGTATTGGTAAACCTCGAGTAAGTCTTAGACTACCAATGATTACAATATCAGTCTAAGACTTCAGAATTGAAATAAAACTGTAGGGTGTTATGTTATGTTAAGCCTCATTATTATGAATTTCAGCTATTCTGATCCACACTTAAAAATGGTTATTTATTTGACTAAATATGATTTTTAACATCATATTTTACTTTTCACTGATTTGTACCATTACCTACCAAATTTGCAATCCATTGCTCAAGACCCAGAAATTAACAAAAATCAATGATTCAAGTATATATAAAAGGCATTAGGTAGCTATTTCAAACCATAATAGCAAGAAATGAGTGCAAAATGCACTATGCCAAGCACCCACTAAGATATTTTGATCTGGTTTTATTTTTGCATCAAGTTGTTTGCACTCCACTTGTTGCTTTGAGTCAATTCTGATTTCTTGCTGATTTAGTATTATTGGTTTTTAGAATAGTGTCTATCAATCTAATGATGGCCATACAGATGGCGATCTAGTATTTTTAACTAGAAGACCTAATACTAATAACAGTACATTAGTTAGTAATAACTATATAGTATCCTATGTTGTGCTTTAGTATGCTGCTTACTAATTAATATGATTTTGGCAAGCTTTTGTTACTTTGGGTGAAAAACTGTGTACTATACACAAAAATATGGG